AGGCCCAAAGGATACCAATGGATACCAAAGGCCACCAGGACCTGCTTAGGAGGGTAGCAGTTAACCTCCTCTGCCTGGAGGTTGAGGTTATGGAGGACTCAGATCCGATGGTGGACATCCTCACCACCGAGGGTCCTTCCAGAGTAGCTTTGCCCCTCATAAGGACAATTCAGAACACCATGAAGGTGCTCTGGCAAACCCTGGCCTCTACACCACCAGTGGCTAAAGAGGTCGAGGGACGCTCCTTTCTGCCATAAAAGGGCTATGAGCACCTGTTTACCCACCCCCAACCGGGGACTCTGGTGGTTGACGTGGCAAACTACAAGGAGCAGCAGGGTCTACCAGGCCCCGCACCTAAGTCACGTGACGCCAAGAAGCTGGATCTCTTTTGCCGTAAAGTCTATTCGACCGGGGGGCTCCAGCTTCGGGTAGCGAATCAGCAGGCGGTGCTTAGCCAATAAGCTTTCAATTCCTGGAGATGGTTGGCTAAATTCCAAGAGTTAATCCTGGCTGATTCTCGCAGGGAGTTCTGTGCGCTCCTTGAGAAGGTAGAGTGGTCTCTTGGATGGCCCTCCAGGCAGCCCTGGATGCAACGGACTCTGCAGCTAGAACCATAGCCACCGCCATGGCTATGAGGCGCAGTGTGTGGCTTCGGGTTTCAGGGATCCCACCTGAGGTCCAAAATACAATTCAGGACCTCCCCTTTGACTGTGCGGGCCTGTTTGCTCAAAATACGGACATGTGCCTTCACAGCCTGAAGGATTCAAGGGCAACTCTGAAGTCTCTGGGGCTACACATCCCAGTGCCTCAGAGAAAGCCCTTTAGATCTCAGCCCCTGTCCCGTTTCTACCCGGGGCTCCCTCGGCGGGATCCACCTAGGAGGAGGGGCAGAAATAACAGGAGGCGCCCACCGCAATCCTCCTCGGACCAAGGCCAGGGTTCAACCAAACAGCCCCCCAGCCCCAAACCCAACTTTTGAAGATGCGCACGAGGACGGCGCACCAGTCGTCTTCTTGGATCCTTCCCCTTGCTTTGTGAATCGACTTTCCCGCTTCTACCGTGCTTGGTCTCAGATCACGTCAGACTGCTGGGTCTTCAGCACAGTGGGGCGGGATATTCTATCCAATTCTGTTCCCTCCTGCCCTCCCACCCCCCTTCCCCATCCCTCTTCAGGGACCCCTCTCATGAGCAACTCCTTTTACAAGAGGTACAATTGCTCCTAGCTCTAGGGGCAATAGAGGAGGTTCCTCAGGAATTCAGGGGCAAGAGGTTCTACTCCCGCTATTTCCTCATCCCCCAAGGCCAAGGGCGGTCTTCGGCCTATCCTGGACCTACGAGACCTCAACACATACATAAAAAAGGTGAAGTTTTGCATGGTCTCTCTGGCCGCCATCATTCCATCCCTGGATCTGGGAGACTGGTACGCCGCCCTTGACTTGAAGGACGCGTATTTTTACATTGCTATTATTCCAGCCCACAGATGCTTTCTCAGATTCATGGTCAGCACTACCAGTTCGGGGAGCTCCCATTTGGCCTTTCAGTGGCCTCCCGGGTGTTCACCACGTGTATGGTGGTAGTGGCAGCCTTCCTCTGCAGGTGCAGGTGTTCCCATATTTGGACGACTGGCTCATCAAGGATGAGTCCCAAGCACATGTGGTGGAGCACGTATCCCTGGCCCGGGCTATGTTTCACAGGTTGGGACTTGTATTAAATGAGCCCTAGTCCACATTGATTCCACACACAAACAATAGAGTTAATCGGTGCTCTCTTGGACTCCACGTGTGCGAGGGCATGCCTTCCGGAACTGCGTTTCAAAGCGCTCACGGACATTATCCAGACCCTCCTCCACTTCCCCACAACCACAGCCAGGAATTGTATGAGACTACTGGGGCATATGGCGGCCTGTACGTACGTGATACAGCATGCCAGGCTGTGCCTCTGGCCCCTCCAGACATGGTTAGCACAGGTGCACAGACTGGGTAGGGACCCATTGGACTCAATCGTGACCCACCCACCTCAAATTCTCCACTCTCTCCAATGGTGGCTGCAGCCACAGCTGGTTTGTGCAGGAGTACCCTTTGCAAAACCCCCAACCCATGCTTTCCCTTGTCACAGATGCCTCGGCGCTCGGTTGGGGAGCGCATCTGGGCAATATCAGAACCAAGGGCCTCTGGTCCCATGCAGAGCTATTGCTGCACATCAACGTGAGGGAGCTGAGGGCAGTTTGCCTGGCATGCCTAGCGTTTCAGGCCTGTCTGCAGGGCATGTGCGTATCGGTGCTCATGGACAATACTGCAGTGATGTTCTATATAAACAAACAGGGTGGTGCTCGTTCCTCTCCCCTCTGTCGAGAAGCCCTCACGCTATGGGACTTTTGTATCACCCACTCCATACACCTGCAGGCGTCGCACCTTCTGGGGGTGCAGAACGAGCTGGCAGACTGCCTCAGTCGCTTGTTCCATGGACACGAAGTGTTCCCTCAGACCGGACATCGCTCACTCAATTTTCCAGAGGTGGGGCTCTCCCCACACGGACCTGTTCACGACGCAGAGCAACAGGAAGTGCCCCAGATTCTGCTCCTTCCTCAACCACAGCCCAGGCTCCACCGCAGATGCCTTTCACCTGTCATGGACGGGTCACCTGCTGTACGCATTCCCGCCATTCCCACCATACACAGGGTGCGCCTCAAGACTCATCAGGACAGGGCTTTCTTAATTCTCATAGTGCCAGCGTGGCCCCGCCACCACTGGTTCACCATGTTACTGAACCTCTCAGTGAATAGACCAGTAGCGCTCCCTCTCTGTCCAACCCTAATCTCACAGGACCACGGCCGTCTACAGTACCCCAACCTGGAGTCACTCCACCTCATGGCATGGAAGCTCCATGGCTGAACCCTCTTGTGCTTCAGTGCTCGCACTCGGTTAGGGAGGTCCTGCTGGGGAGTAGGAAATCCTGCACTTGAGCCACGTACCTGGCTAAGTGGAAGCGTTTCTCCATTTGGTCTCGACAAAGGGGAACTGAGCCGCAATCAGCCCCAATTTCCTTTATTTTGGATTATCTTTTAGAGCCAAGCACCAAGGGTTAGCAATATCATTCCTAAGGGTTTCAGAGTAACAGCCGTGTTAGTCTGTATTCGCAAAAGGAAAAGGAGTACTTGTGGCACCTTAGAGACTAACCAATTTATTTGAGCATAAGCTTTTGTGAGCCACAGCTCACTTCATCGGATGCATACTGTGGAAACTGCAGAAGACATTATATACACAGAGACCATGAAACAATACCTCCTCCCACCCCACTCTCCTGCTGGTAATAGCTTATCTAAAGTGATCACTCTCCTTACAATGTGTATGATAATCAAGTCGGGCCATTTCCAGCACAAATCCAGGTTTTCTCACCCCCCCCCCCACAAACTTACCCCTCCCCCACGGTAACTGCTTGGAAGTCACCTATTGGAATGCACATAAGCAATCACTCGAAGAAGAAAACATGGCTGCTTACCTCTCATAACTTGTTCTTCGAGATGTGTTGCTTATGTACATTCCAAATCCTGCCTGCCTCCCCACTGTCGGAGTATTCCGGCAAGAAGGAACTGAGCAGGCAGCGGGTCGGCAGGGACATATATACACCGCCATGAAGGCGCCTCTCTCGGGGTCTCCACAGCCGACCCGACGGGTACTGCTAGGGAAAAGCTTCTGGCGATGTTGCACGTGGCGCGCGCACACACCTATTGGAATGCACATGAGCAATCACTCGAAGAACAACAGTTATGAGAGGTAAATAACCATTTTTTTGTTATTCCTGGTAGAGAATGAAGGTATCCAGCTCAACTGAGTCACGTGCCTTTTCCATATTAACAGCAGACTCTAAATCCTGTACCAATTTGGACAAGTGAAGTAGCCTCTTTACATTTATTTCTGTTGACCTTCCAGAACAAAGCCTGACAGGTCCTGAAGCATGAATCTAAGCTGTCTATTTTCAAGTCTTTTATCTAAAAACTTATTTAATGGTGAAGATTCTGCAAGGTACTGAGTATACTGATCCCAAGCCGTGGGGGCCACAGACTACTCATGTACTTAAAGTTAAGCAAGTGGTTAAGGGTTTTTCTGGATCAGGATCAGATTGCTTATCACCTCACAGGATTGAGCCTAAAACTAGGTGACCTGATTTAGGATCTACTAAGATCCTTCCACTTTTCAATAATGTTGATAATTTTGCTTCCCTTCATAACACTGGAAGGGATCCCTTCCATTGTGCCTCTCTGTTAATTGACAATAATATGGGATTCCTCTAAAGATTTTGAAACGTTATCTCAAGACCACCTGTTTTACCTCCTGGTATCCTGTAAATACTTTTGCTAGCTCACTTTCACCAATTGGGCTATTCCAGATGTGGAAAGGATCCGATTTACTTCAATGAGAGGTGGATCAGAGTTCCCGACTCTGAGGATTTGCATGTTGCAAATGTACCCCACTGGTGAGTGTGTGTTACATGTGTCCCTCCATGCCCAATCCACAGAGCATGTGAGTCTGTTACATCCCCACACTACAGAACCTGACTCTTTAGCTCATGCTGTAGCAACATATCCATTTAGCTCTGGATCAATTTCTGGTGGCCTCCAAAATGGCAGCCATCATTCATATAACCCTTGATCACAAGCAGTCCCTTCTGGTGAATGCACATTGAGTGCTTTGAGCCATAATACCTGATATTTTTTAAATTGTTAAGTTAATTTCACAGTTAACCCTGATGTGACCTTTAAAATAATACGTTAACTGCTGAGGAGCAGAATGTTATGGTGACCTTCCCACCTGATTACTAAAAGAAGTGTGACACTTCATGGATCAGTTTATATTGTTCTGAACTGAAGAGTGTTATGAGGACACTTACTGATATTCTGTGTAGGGAAGCAAATCACCAATTTCTCTGCACATCTATCATTGGGTAAATCCAGCTCTGAGTTTGAAGGAGGGCTGGTAAAGTCTGTTTCTCCTTGTTTGTAGATTTGATTGTCGTCAAGGTGCATAATGGAGCCCTTAACCCTTACAGAGCCACAGCCTTCCCCACAAAACAGCTTGCCCACACCACAAAAGAAGTACAATGTCCTGGTGGGTGTTACTGGAAGTGTGGCTGCCCTGAAGTTGCCTATTCTTGTCTCAGAATTGCTGGAGATTCCTGGGGTAAGTAACTTATGCTCCAGTGAGTTAGAAGAGAAACTGTAAAAATGGTATCTTCCTGTTTCCTTTTTATCCTCTCTTAGTGGAGATCAGATTGGGTCAGTTAGAGTTTTAAAGCTGATTCTAGATGCTGGTCCTGGGGTCTGAAAATCAGGCTTGGCATTTTTCTGTCTCTTTTCCTATGATCAGTAATAAAAAAACTCACAAATTCTCACAGTAAGAGCTTACCTGACCGTTTTGTTGGTATCACACAATACATGATGGAAACCAGCTTTGTGTCTCAGCATTATGTGGGCTTTGCAGGGCTCAGTGCTGTCAAAACTTAGATGTCAGTAAAGTCGTCAAATCTGAATTTAAGAGATACATATAGTAAAAAGTGCCATATGCTCTCTAAAACTCCAAATTTATGGTTCAGATCGTGCCATATAAATAGTCTCAGTAATTGAGACATAGAACTTAAAAGTTGGATGCTAGTATAAGATGGAAGAGGACAAGCTTAAAAAATAAAGAAGCATCTGTATGTACATTAAAAAAAAATTTGAGCATGAGCTTTTGTGAGCTACAGCTCACTTCATCGGATGCATGCTCAAATAAATTGGTTAGTCTCTAAGGTGCCACAAGTACTCCTTTTCTTTTTGCGAATACAGACTAACACGGCTGTTACTCTGAAACCTGTCATTAAAAAAAATATATTATTACCTACAGTAACCAATTTTTCCAGCAGATGGCAGTATTAGCCAGTAGTGAATAGACTTACATTCCAAAAAAAGGGAAATATAATAGCTTTTGCTAAAGTAAAAGGAAAATTCAGAATGCTCTCACATTTTGGAACGAACCCAATTATCATGGTTCATTTAAAAAAGAGAGAATGAGGGGAGAGAGAGAATTTGTGGCACCTTCTTTCTTAAACATAGGCCAAATACATAATCCACTTATATTGCTTGGGTTGCTAGATGGCCTGGTTTAATACCCTTTGGATGATTCATATATTTGGGATTCCTTCACTCCATAGCTCAAGGTACTCCATGAGATTCATACACAGGAGATGATATTTTGGAAATGTAATTGTGAAACTGATTGGTGGTAATAGCAAATCTGGAAAGGCTGTTGAAGGTACACAGAGCTTCAGGGTAACAGTGCTGTATCTTGTCAGCTGTTGGAAACAAAGTTCAGCTGGCATGTTGGGGGCCTTAGTTAAGCTTTTCAGTTCCAGTAACTAAAAGAGACTTAAGGTTCCAGACCAGATTGGGAAGGGTTGGGGGTGGAAACGGACAGAAGAAAGTGGTGCAGAGATAGGAAGAGGTCATGTCAGAACCTCAGGTCATGTGTTGCTGCGTGTATGGAATGTAGGTTATGCAGGGATTTTCCATTCCCCCAGCACTCATCCACAGCTTTCTGGATTTCCATCTTAGCAACAGGAGCTGCCTGAACGATAGAGCCCACAGCATTCCCCCCCCCCCAATCCTGTACTGGTATCCGAAGGACCTCCCTCCACTCTATAGGTGACCGGAAGAGAAAAAACTACCCATTCTGAAGGAGTCTAGATCAAAGCACATCCCTTCTCTGTGAATATTTTGATCATAAACTTTGCAGCAAGCTGGATCCAAATTTGATAGCAAGGCTCCTTGATTCTGTGATCCTCCTGTGCAGGAGTCTGCAGATTTTGTGGCAACTTCATTTAAATTTAAAAATAGAGGTTTTCACTGAATGAAATATAAAGAATCCATTTGGTGTAGGAGCCCTGGTAATTTATTTTGGCAATAAATTCAATTTATTTTCTACTGTCTGTACAATTTCAGGGCCTGAGCCAAAGCCAAATGAAGTCAATGGGAGTCTTTCCAATTACTTTAAATCAGGCCCTCAGTTTTAACTTGCTGCAGATTTTTGTGCTGACAACGGAGAACCGTCTTACGAAAGTTGTCAGAGGAACTTGGGTAGAAAACAGCTGAAGTTTTTGGATCATTAGGAAATGTGCTGAGAGGTTTAGGGTGGTAGGCTAAGCAAGTTAGATTGAACTTTCTGCTTAAATGATCAGCAGTGAAATAGTTGACAATTTAAATATCAATGTTGTAATCATTAGGTTTCAGATTCAACCACTCGTTGAGATGAATGAGGTAGTTAGTACATCTCATAGCCATCAGGTTAGGCTCCTGCAGACTCAGGATGTTAACAGTGCATCAGTTAACATTTTAAAAGTTTTCTTCATAACCATAATGGCTGTTGAAGTACAAAAAAGTGCTGTTTTATCCAGGCCAGTGGAAAATTCTGATGGTCACGTATGTATTTTCTCAGGGTTACTAATATAAGTCAAGTCACCGCTTTCTTGACTCTTTAAAATGGCACAAACATGTAAACATGGGCAAAAATCAGGCTGGCAGAGCATTGGCTAGTGGTTTTTGTGTAGAGACAGCAAAGCAGGAGATCCAAGCTTAGCCCTGGATGAAGACTGCCACTCCACTAGCCTCTGGGTATTTGCTGAATCTCCTCATGTAAAACACACACCTTGTGACTCCAGCACACTTCTTTTACCAGATGACGTGTACATCAGCTTGTATCAGCAGTTAAACAGAGGAGTCATATGCTCATTTTCTATTTTACCTGTTATAGAGGCAAACAGAGGCTGTTACTGGTGTATAGAAAAGAAAGAATACTGATCTCTTTCCAATTTAGGTGGAGGGACATGAAAGTCCCGCTTAGGATGAGTAAGCAAGAAGCCCATCCCTGCAAAAAAGAATTTAACAGTGGGAATAATTAATTAATGGAACAGCTTACCCAGGAATGTGTTAAATTCTCTATCATTTGGAATTTTTAAATCATGATTGAATGTCTTTTGTAGCGCATAGGGCTGGCCTGCTTGCTTGCTTGCTTATATCCTTTCTTATGGGTTTGTTGATAATAGATTTATAGCTTTGTATTAGAGTAGTTTTTGGCAGTAATGCAAGAAACCTACAGGCCACATCCTGTATGATGAGTTAAAGCAAGTTAGCGTACATATGTTTGTGACCTTTGACATAGAGAAGTTGCGAAGCGACTGTGCTCTATAAACTTAACAGGTACACCACAAAGAACATGGAAATAGCCACCAAACTGATTCAGGCCAGAAATAACAGATGTGAGAATGAACACCCCGATTTGATGTGGGTGAGGAAATTGGACATGGAAGGTTGGGTACACAAGAGGGCAAACCACCATGATTAGGGTTAGGTTAGTTTTTTCTTGGGTCTTTTTTAGCTTAGTTTTCTGGTTTTGTAGCTTTCTAGCTCCTCCTAAATTTTTCACCTTCCACTCAAACATTGAGGAACCTGGACCTACTCTTTTGGCATGCCAGAGATGAGGCTGGTCCTTTGTCTCTTACCACCAGGTTCTCAAGGAAGGATGACAGTATGTTAATCTAGGAAGTTTTATAGTAAAGGATACCACGTGTACCTCTAGAACAGTCCTATTTCCTTTTTAATTCTGGTTGATTACTTTCCACTTGATTACTTTTCCACTTATGTCAGTAAAAATATCTACGGCTGTATTGTATTCTCAGCATAAGTGTCCTTGTCATACATCCCGAGGGTCCTTGCAAGACTCTGTGTAGCCTGATTTCGGGACAAGAACCATATTTTCTGGTCAGATCAATTGGTAATCCTTTTAATTTATATAAATAATAATATTGATCCCCTAAAATCAAGCAACACAACTGTTATAAAGGGAAACAGAGGCTGTTACAGATATGTAGAAAGGAAAGAATACTGATCTCTTTCCAACTTAGGTAGAGGGACATGAAAGTCCCACTTAGAATGAGTAAGCAACAAGCCCATCCCTGCAGAAAAGAATTTAACAGTGGGAATAGTTAATCACTGGAACAGCTTACCCAGGAATCAGAGTAGCAGCCGTGTTAGTCTGTATTCGCAAAAAGAAAGGGAGTACTTGTGGCACCTTAGAGACTAACCAATTTATCTGAGCATAAGCTTTCGTGAGCTACAGCTCACTTCATCGGATACATTCAGTGGAAAATACAGTGAGGAGATTTATATACACACATTCTCCATCACTTGGAGTTTTAAATCATGAGTGAATGTCTTTTGAAAAGATGTACTCTAGCTTAACCACAAAATATTGGGTTCAATGCAGGAATCCCTGGGTTCACTTCTCTGGCCTGTGCTATACAGGAGGTCAAACTAGGTGATCAGAATGGTCCCTTTTGGCCTTAAAATCTGTGAAAGAAATGGCAGAAAGTGAGTGGTTTTTAAAAGTGCCTTGGCTGCAGCTATGTGTTTGTTTTGAAGGGCTTGTCTACACTAGAAAGGTTTGCTGCCTTACCTGTACCGGTATAGTTAAAGCAGCAAAAAACTCCTGTTGTGTACACAATTATATCAGTATGAAAATTCTTATATCAATGTAGCTTATTTTGGTTCAGGAACTGAAATAAACTATATTGCTATAAGGCACCTTTATATTGGTATAACTGTATATATACTAGAGCTTTTACTGGTATAACTACATTGGCAATAATAATAATTAATATATCACACCCCTAACCAGTGTAGGCTTTGTGTACACTAGAAAGTTTAGTTATAGCTATACCGCCCTCTAAGGCTATGTCTACACTGTGCACCTTAGAGCGACACAGGTGTACCGCTACAGCAGTGCTGCTGTAAGGTGTGCAGTGTAGCCACTCTTTGTTAGCCAGAAAAAAAGCTCTCCTGCCGACAAAATAAAACCACCTCCAACGAGGCGCAGTAGCTTTGTCGTTGGGAGAGTGCCGGGATGGCCTAACCATGAGATGAACTGAGGCGGGCACCTCAGGTGCCAGACTGTGTGGGGACGCCACTAGGACCCAGAGTGTAGAAAATTGTGTCTGCTGCTGGTGCATGTGTATTCTCTCTGCTCTAGATGCACAGAGACTGTGGAGTGCTGTGCTGGAGGAAGGAGGGTACAAGAGGCATAAAAGGCAGGCAGGAGAAAAGGTGAGAGGGAATAACCGAAAGCAGCAGAAGCTGCAAAGAGAGAGAGGA